GTATAGTGTGAAATTACATTACATGAAGAGCACTTGTGAACACGATATCTTAATTCAGTACAGTGTGAAATTATATTACGCGAAGAGCACTTGTGAACACAATATCATAATTCAGTATAGTGTGAAATTACATTACATGAAGAGCACTTGTGAACACGATATCTTAATTCAGTACAGTGTGAAATTATATTACATGAAGAGCACTTGTGAACACGATATCTTAATTCAGTACAGTGTGAAATTATATTACATGAAGAGCACTTGTGAACACGATATCGTAATTCAGTACAGTGTGAAATTATATTACATGAAGAGCACTTGTGAACACGATATCGTAATTCAGTACAGTGTGAAATTATATTACATGAGAGCACTTGTGAACACGATATCTTAATTCAGTACAGTGTGAAATAGAAGCTGCTTCGTTTATAAACGAACAATAAAAACTTACAGTCAGTTGCACTAAATGCCTGTAACAGAAAACAACAAGCTGAGGCATGGAACTGTAAAACATCTCGTTTTCAGAACTCTGTAAAATATCGGTTTGTTTTTTAAATTATTTTTCTAGAGCAAACTCTTTAAAAGAAATTTGTTCTCTATTCTTTCGGATACAGTACGGTGTCTGTTTCACTCCAACAAATACGTTACCAGTAACGTAATGTCATAATCATTTCAGGAGACACTCGTGAACCCCCTGGGTTGATTCTACTCGTTATGACTTAACGTGAAAACGCTGCGCTGGGAGAATCGTCTATCTGGACGTTCCTGGTCTTAAGCGCTTCCAGTAATATTTGAACTGGGTCAAAATTCATAAAACGGAGGATTAGTGATATATCCAGTCACAGCTGTACAGAAGTGTATGTTTAGTAGAGACTCGTGTTTGTGGGCCTCAACTTTCATCGGAGAAAGAAAAACAAGCACGTGCAAGATGATTAATCGTCAGTTATAACGAACATTGTTTTATTTTGTATCAAAATGTTAATACAAAGCTTCACGGAGGCTATGTTTAGACTAAAGGGAAGGCAGTTACTTTAATAACACCCACCGCCAACTCTTGGGATACTCTTATCTCACTAAACAGTATGATTTTATCCTTAATCTTTTAGCGTATCCAAAGTTGCCGCAAAGCATAGAGAGCTCGTTTTTTGCAGCAACGAGCCGAGAACCATTTTCTGAGTAGGTTAACCAATGGGTCACTTCCGACCTCGAAATTGAAAGAAACAGCACACTTGGAAACAGGTAGGGCACTTCCAAAAATAAGTAATTATAAATTGTTTCTAGAGTTTTTTTTTAGTAAGATGAAATACTTGGTCTTAAAAATATTAAATTTGCAGCTAAATAAGTAGGCAAAACTCAAACCACGTGTCTTTCAGAAAACTGTTATCAAACTTTATGACTTCTACAGCAGATTAATCGTACTTTAATTGGAAGATTAATATAAGCCACGCCCAACTTTGTAGTTCTGGTACATATCGAATATTCGACTACCCAACAGTGCAATGACCACATGGATAGACCTTTGGCCGAAGGAAGTTTTGACAGCCCTCTCAATATAGCGGTATTGTTAAGCTATGTATATGTAGATGTTCTCCATTGAAGCAAAAATATTAGTACAACGGAGTGTTTAGGATAGCAACAGACTACAAACCACACCCTAAACCAATACAGAGCGGAACACACTACACATGTTCAACAGAACATATAGAAGTCCCCCCCCAAAAAAAAACAACAGATAACTTTATAATGGTTATAACATTTGGTTTTCGAACTCATTATTATATTAGTATAATGTGCTTACATACTCAGGTAAAGGCTGTGATAATGAAAGAGAATCCTCTTACCCAAAACGCCCATTGTGATGAAGTGGAGAATATCGCCTGGTGTCTGACGTTTATAAAGTTTCACAATCCAAACCTTCATAAGCTTCCAGCCACATCCAACAATCAACAGCTGTTTCCACGAGAAAGATGGATGAAGAAGCTGGAGCCACAGCTCTTCCATCATTCGAAGTCTCTCATTGCAGCTTCAATGAACTGTTGTGCTTTGGGTCTGCTTCAAACCGACGTCCAGGCACAGTGGAGAGTTGTGAAAAGTTTGTTGAAAAATTGGTTTAAAATTGACCTAGTCGTCCTTCAGAGAAACTGGTTACAATAGACACTGCGTTGTCTGGCAATAATGCGTAACCATAGCTATCAGAATGACTACGAGGGAAGAGGGAGGAATTAGTTTTAAGGGCAGCACAGGATTGAATAAAGGGCGATACGTCTCGGAAATTATTACTAAAGTCACATGTAGAACCTCTCCCTGTGAAACATTCATAGAATTATTAATTCATTTTGTTTCTTATTTATAGAGATTCCAGCACCTGTAACCTCACCACAGACCCGTTCAACACCCAAAACTCTTCAGCCTAAGCCTGAAAAACTGTGGAACGGTCATTCACACAACATTGTAGCTAAGCCTAACGAAAACGGTACGGTCGAAGCTTCTTTTATGCTATAAGATGTAGTAATGAAAGTTATACTTCATAAGTTTTAAATACTCAACAAAGTCAATTATGATATAAACTTTGGAATGAAAAACTGTAAAAAAAAGTTTAAGATGTCACTTTAATAGTCTAATTTTTCTTTGGTTATCTTGAATAGTTGTGCATATCAACAACATATTAAATTTACAAGGACTCTCCCGTGAAGGTCGTTTTATTCACTATGTATATGTGATATGATAGATATATCTAAGCTCTATACACGTATTATGATATACATATATCATCTGTGTATATGTGATATGATAGATATATCTAAGCTGTATACACGTATTATGATATACATATATCATCTATGTATATGTGATATGATAGATATATCTAAGCTCTATACACGTATTATGATATACATATCTCATCTATGTATATGTGATATGATAGATATATCTAAGCTCTATACA